TCTCCGCCACAGTGCCTGGACAAATCTGCGGTATGAAAGTGGCAAATGGCAAAATTTCGCTGAGCTGAAAGAAATTCTAGGCTAAGAAATTGTAAATGGGGCAGAGGGTTCATGCTGAGAGGTCTGACGGAAAGCCTTCTTCCTAATATATATTTATTTAAAACAAGAAGAATTTATATTTTAATTACATAACTTTAGCAACTTATTTTTCGCTTTCCATTCAATTCGCTTTACCTTTTTCTCTGAAGGATAAATATTGAATATCTTCAATATCTGAGTGTGGATAGAGAAAGGACAACTTATCATAGGTATACCTAAGTTGTGGGAGGTGGGTGCAGAACATCAGAAAAAAATGCCAGTAATGAAAGTAAGGATTAAGAGAGAATTTGAACACAAAAGCTAGTGAGGGTCAGGTTGTCCTGTCCAGTTTTCTCTGAGATTTTAAAGAACGGTAAATATGCTGAACTTCTTAAGGCAGTGGTGCTTAATCTTGACTGCACATCAAAATCACCTGAAGGATTTTGAAAAACCTACAGAAGCCTGGGCTCCACTCCAGACCTCCAAAGAAGGAGCTCCAGGAGTGGAGCCAGGTATGGGTAGTTTATAAAGCTCCCACGGTAATTTGAGCAAGCCAGCTTGAGAGCTATGTTCTAGATCAGTATTTCTCAAACTTGAGTGGTTATTAGAAATACAGACATACCTCCTTTTATTGCACTTTTTTGCAATTCACAGATATTGTGCTTTTTAAATTCGAAGTTAAGGCCCTCCTCCAGCAAAAAGATTACAACTCACAATATCTCTGAGGTATGCCTGTAGTTGAAGGGCTTTTTAAAAGACCGAATGCTCCCCCTACCTTCCCAAGTTTTCTAATTCAGCATGTCTGGAGTGAGTTTGGGAATTTGCATTTCCAACAAGTACTCAGGTGATGTTGCTGATGTTGCTGGTCTGGGGACCACAATTTGAGAACCAACATCTTATAAGAAGAAATGTTGACCATTTTTTCTACGAAAACATATACGTGTATTCAGTCTACAGGCTTGACTAAGTGGTTTGTCTCTCGTGTGCGCCTGGAAGCCATGTGTGCATGTGGGGATGAAGGAAAGGGGGGAGCCCAAGTGAAGAGGGGGGTACTACTTGTAAGTTCGAATCGGAGAACCACACACTTCTATTTCCACTTTGTTTTGTTCAAGTTTTGACTAAGAAACTCTGGTCACTTTTTGGTCCTGTCCTACCCCTGACTAAATAAGTCATAGTTCTTGCAGCCGAAAAGGTAATTTGCAATTCAAGCGCCCACTTTCTTCTACTTGTGCAACCAGAGACTGAGCTGCCCCCTCTGGAGCCCACAGGTTCTACCATGAAAAAGTCCCAAAGAGCATCCCAGAGTCAGATGGTGACTAACTGAGGAGCTGAACCTATTCCTCCTATGGAGAGAGAAGTAGACTTGATCCAAGGGCATGGTTGGGAAAACAGATGGGTTGGCTTGAAAGCAAGGCGAAAGGACAAGGAGGGTGGTGGAGGTGGGGTCAAAGAGTGAGGGTGTATCTTTGGAGACACACTTCTGCAGGCCTTCGTCAGTAAGCCCCTGTCCCGAACTCCCCACCCCTGAAATGACATCAGAAAACTAGGGAGTGAGCTAAAGTCTCAACTTTTTGTTTCTACATCCTTGAACAGCTAGGTGTGAGATCCACCTGGCACCTTAGCCAAAGGCTCAACTCCATCACTATCTAGTGTGTGTCTGTGTGTCTGTGTGTCTGTGTGTCTGTGTGTGTGGTCTGAGAAGAATGACAAAAGAAGAAGTGCTCTGGACAGAGTGTAACTTCTTCCTGACCATCCCTCAGAGCTCTAGCAGAGACTGGGTTTAAGGGGCCTGCAGTGTCCCCTTCTCTCCTTCCCAGCCTCAGAAAGACCCAAGAACCAGCTGTCCCCAAGACAACTCCGCTGGGACAAGAGACAAATAAACCTGAATTCCTTAGCTCTTCCTCTTTTTCTGCGTCCACCCCCAAAAAGTTCACAACAAACCATAATAAGTTAAAAAGGAACTATGTCATGAGAAGGAGGCCCAGAGCCATATCTAGGTTACAAAAAGCATCTTGAATTTGCAGAATATCAGAGATGATTATGTTCAATCGCAAGTAGTGAAAGTTTTCTGAAATCATACACATGCACATATATACATATGTAAATATGCAGAAAGGTCTAGATGTAGATAATTGGAAGTTGGTAGTGGTAGGCTGAGGCTAAATCAGAAGCTCTCCTGTTGAATGAGAGACTGAATAGCATTATCGAACCTGGCATGAAACTTGGGAGCTCTGTTCTGCAACACCCCTTACTTCACAACTGCTTATATTATATTGTCTTTTTTACCTCCAGGTCTTTAACATTGTCTGGTGGAAAGTGTTAAGTACCTGTCAGTACTTCCATTTGTGTGTCCAGTCACACCCCCCTGCTCTTCCAGGAAACTTACACTCATACTTCTATTTTACCTGTCCCTCTCAACAGTCTTCCTATCAGATGTAAAATATGTTTGCATCTTTCTTCACTGCCTGACTCAATGATATTCTCTACCCCCATTTTCTTACCTCCCATTCATTCTTCAGCCCACTCTAATCCATTTCTGGCTCTAAACCTCCAGAATTTCAAACTTCCTATTATATTTGATATTATTGATCACTCTTTTCTTTTTGAATCCCTCTTTTCTTCTACTTCCCTGGTGGCTCCTTCACAGGCTCATTATTTCATGGCCACTCAATGCCAAAGTTCCTCAAGACTGGCTCCTGGCCTTTTTCTTTTCTTGCTCACTATCCTCTCTTCCTCAGACCTAAGCTAACTCATTTATATCCAAAGCTTCAAGTCATCACCATCCATCGATGATTCATCTCTTATTTACCTGAGCCTAGCTCCGTTTACCCAACTGCCAACTTGGCATCTCTTTTGAGTAGATCAAACTACCTGCTCTCATGACCTTTGCACTCAATCTCTGTCTTCTTCCAAGATTCTAATCTCAGTGAACTAGCATCAACATCCTTCCTTGGCCATAAGCAAGAAACCTATGGCTTTTTTCTTGCTACTCTCTTTTCTTCACTGCCCACCTAATCTATCATTAAGTTCTATGTACTAGATCTCCTAAATGATCCTCAGATCCTTCTTCTTACTGTTTCCATGACCATCACCCTAGATCAAACCTCTACCATCTGCCATATAGACTATTCCTACATCTACTTGGCCTCCTTCCAACAAAGAAACTTTTCAAAATGCCATTCTGACCATGCCACCCCTTTTGCTGAAGCATATCTGTGGCAGGGGCTTCCCATTCCACTTAGGATAAAGACAAGATTTTCAACATGGGTAGATGGCCGCACCAATTTTATTCTTTTCCAGTCTTCCCAACTTTATCTCATAGCTCTTTCTTCCTTGTCCTTCCAGCAGCACTGGCCTTTCCTTAATTCTCTTAATTTCCTTAATGCTCCCTCTTTTCACAGGACCCTTGTGTACCAAGTTACCTGTATTTGAAATATTTTCTGCCTGGTTAAATCTATTCTCAGCTCAAGAGGCAGTTACTCAATTATTAATTTCCTTGCTTTATTAATTCCAACAATTGGTTTCATAATGCTATATATCCATATCAATTTATATTATATATACTGATCATTTTGTATTTGCTTATTGTTATTATTTCCATATTACAATGATTAAGTCTGTAAGCTCTATTGTGTTTTCAGTGCCAGCACAGTGCCTGGCACAGAATGGGCATGCAATAGATATTTATGGGACAAAGGAAATAAGGAAGTCTAAGAGGGGGTGAGGGGATGGGGGAAAAAATGAATGAATGAATGTTCACATTTATGTTGCACTTCAAATCACTGGAAACAGGCCAGCCCAACATGACATGGGAAAATATCTACCTGAATTCACTCATTTATTCAACAAATATTTATGTTTGTTATTTATTCATTATTAAGGTAATGAACATGATTATGAACATGTTTCATTTGGAAACCTTGAAAAAAATGCCCCAAATTGTAAAGAGAATCAATTCACCTTTTATTCCACAGTCCAGTGATGAACTATTGTTAAAATAATTTGGTATATTTCTTTCCAGGTTTTTTCTATGTATGTATAGTAAGTAAGTAGGATCATTTTATGTAAATAGACTTTTTTTTTCTCTTAATGATATATTATAAACATTTTCTTGTGTTAAGAATTCCTTGAACACATCGCATTTATATTGCTAAAATGCATTCTATTATATGGATGTATGTAATTTAGACACCTTCCCACTCATTGTTGGATAAGTAAGGGCTTGCCTATTTGTCATTTCTATAACTAACATAGACACGTTTTGTGGGGTCCAGGGTAAATAGGGTAATGCATGGGACCCAGTAGGAGGTGGACTTTGGGGAAAACAAGGCAGCTTTTTTCCCCCATCCCCTCACCCCCTCTTAGACTTCTTTATTTCCTTTGTCCCATAAATATCTATTGCATGCCCATTCTGTGCCAGGCACTGTGCTGCACCCAAAACACAATAGAACTTACAGACTTAATCATTGTTAATATGGAAATAAGAACATATATTTGCTTGCGGGTTGCTGGGCCTGGAGCAGGTGTCCTCAGAATGTAACATATCGTCGGTAATGAGCTCTTCAACTCTCAGGTGTGTGCCTACTCCACAGGCAGGTTTGGCATGAATACACTTGACCTACAAACCCTGGGGCCAAACGGCCCCCGGCCAGTTGCGTCTGGCCACGCGCTGCCACGTGCCAGAAGCGGGGCCCCGCCTTCTCCGGCTCCCCGCCACGCCCCGCTTCGATGCTCTTCGAGGTTCTCCCGGGGCTCCTCCTCCAGGCGACCTCCGCAAGGCCTCCCGGCCCCCAGAGTAGCTCCGCCCCCAGACCGCGGGCCCCCGCCCCCACAATCCGGGCCCCGGGGCCGCCCCGCCCGGCGGGCTGCTCGCATTGCGCAGGGGCGGTTTCCTACGCAATGACGTGAGCAGGCGTGCGCAGTGACGGCTCGCGTCCCTGTTACTCAGCGGAGCGGCCGAGGCCGGACGACGCGGCCCGGGGCGCAGAGACGCGAGCAACGCTGGCTAACGGCTGTGGCGACCGCCCGGACGGCGCCGGTGTTTGCCGGTGGGCTTTTCTGTGGTCGTTCGCTGCGCTGCCGGGTGAGTGCGGCAGGCGCCGTGGGGCCGGGTCGGCCGGCGGCCCCACCGTGTTTATGTTATTGTGCCGCCACCTTCTCAGCCGTGCCCCCCTCCCCGGAGTGGAAGCTGGAGCGCGCGTGGGGCGCGCGACGGGCGGGGGCTGCGCGGGAACAATAGCGGCCCGGAAGGCGGGGGCAAGTCTGGGGGCGTGGGACTGCGGGACCCTTGCGCGTCTCGCCGTCTGTTCCCAGTCCTCCGCCCCAGCTCCGCCCGTCGGTCCTCGCGCGTGTCCCACGTCCACGTCGAAAGGGGAAAATGGAGCGGGGATGGGTGGCAAGTTCTGAAACACTTTGACGAAGGTCGAGACGGAGGCCCCTGGGCGGCTCGCCGCGCCCTGTCTCCCCCAGAGGTGTGGGCAGCCGCGGAGAGAGCTCCGGTCACCCGGTCCCAACGCCTGCCTGGCCTCCACGGGGACCGTGTTTTGTTCCTGGGTGGTTTCTTTGTGCTAACGTTCTGGACGAACGCAGGCAGCGGCGCCGAAAAAGGCTAAGGTGGCTGGCCTTCAGCTGTGGGCTACGAGGGTGAGCTCGGCCCGTGGCTTGGGTAGGAGGTGTCCATCTAGCTCGGCGCGAGCTTCAGTGGTCAGCGCGCATTTCTCTTGAGGGTCACTCGCTGATGACCTTTTGACTTTTTCACCCCGCCCTCTCATCTCTTTGTTTTACACTTGTATTCCCAATCCTTAGATGGTAGATCCAAGTCCATTTTAAAGTATTGTGATGAATACTTTTCATTTTAATTTCTAAAAGTTCCTCATCAGATGTTTACTGTGAACTTAATAACATGTTGACTGCATTGTATCAGACAATGTCCAGCGGTTACTATTTTTACCTCTGAAATTCAGTGATCTTTCCAGTAAAATTCTGGTCTGTCAGTCTATTTGTTTTTAACAGGTACTTCTTTGGCTTTTAGAACATCTATTTCATTCATCCATTCATTCATTCATTATTTCAGCAATTTCAGTATTGCACCCTAATGGAGAGTTTGAAGGTAAAGACAAATATCCTTTAATAAAGAGAATCCTTTGACTGAAATATAATAGATGTACTTTTAAATGAGGTGATTATATAAGTGATGTGCGTTAAGGAAGGTTCTGATACTCTGGGTCATTTTACTATTTTTCAGTAGTAGATATGGAAATTCAAGTGGAATGGTGTATTAGGAAGAGTTAGGTTTGGTCTAAATATACAATAGCTTTTACTTATTTCCAAATTTAATTTTCCAGTCTTACAGCCTTATATATCCTTACAGTCATTTGTAATGTTTACCTCAGATTTCCCAGCTGTGGGTTAAGCCTAGGAGGTCAAATGCTATAAGTGAACCTGTTTAGTGCTGCGCCTGACAAAAGCAAGCAGTCAAAATGGGACTTCCTTAAGGACAGGCCTGTCTTGTATCTGTTTCTCCAGCACCTAGCCTGGAATATAGTAAGTATTCAATAAAAGTCAGATTGATGGAAAGCTCTTTACAGTTGATAATGTTTAAAATCAAGCCTTAAAAAAAACTAATGTTCTCTGTAAAGTTTTGGAAGCCTCATGCAAGCTGTCACTTTCAAATGGCTGTGATCTGTTCATATATATTATTTGTCACGACAGTAGTGGCTTTTGAATTACTTCGGTATCAATTTATTTATCACTGTTCGCTATTCTAAAATAAAACTAAAATGTGTGTGTGTATATCTGTGTATCTTGTGCGCTCTCACTCGCTCTCACACACATATTTCAATAAGGGTCTAAAGCGATTGCATTTATCCTTTTGTGAATATTACTTGAAAAGTTTCTGATAACTCCTTTATGTGGATAAGTTAGAACAAAGGAAACAAGCTGCATAAAAGTTTTCTTACAAATGTTTAATTTCTAATAACATTTGAGAAATGTTTGTTAGAAATGATTAATTTTAAATTATTCCTTATACTAATACTATAGGCGAAGCAAATGGGCCTAAAACTCAAAATAATATCAATTTATACAAGTTACATCTCATTTCCATTCACTATGTAATATATTTTAGCATTTGTTTTGGCTAAGCAAGAATTTTCTGTGAGCTTATTAAGATCCAATGTAGAGTCCTAATAGAAATGAGAAAATGATGCTTTAGTAAAATGAGGGATGAAAATCTTGAGATAGCAAACTTTTATTGCTTTACTTGGACATGGGGTGTCAGATTCTAGTAAGGGTTATTGATACAAATTCTTTAGCAATAGCTCAGTGTTGGGCTACATGTCAAAAACCAGAGTTTTTTTGTTTGTTTTATAAATTCTGTCGGTTTTTTTAAATAACAGCATCATATTTTATAACAGCATCATGTTTTATAAATTCTGTCGGTTTTTTTAAATAACAGCATCATATAATTTACATACTATAAATTTTACCCTTTCAGTAGTTTTTAATATGTTCACAAAGTTATGCATTGATCAACTAATTCCAGAACATTTTCATCACTCCAAGAAGAAATCCCCATACCCACTAGCAGTCACTCCCCATTCCATTCTAAATTATGTTTAAAGAAAGTGATATCACTGATTCTGTTAGTGAGTATATTCCTTTAGAGTTTGAAAAGAGCTCCTTTAAGTGTCTTGGCGCAGGAAACTATCTTTCACACTCCTTTAAATCTTAGGAGAAAGGCCACTTGGAAAGAAAGTTTAAGAATAAATTTTACCATAATTAATAAGGTTAGAATCTTAACTATTTGCTCAATGCCTGATATTATGGAAATGAGCTTGTGAAGATACTCAATGCTCAATGAAACAACTTGAAGTAATTTAAGTTACTAGTCACAAACTATCCTAATGGTAATTAAGAGGTGGTTCAATAGAAAGCTGATACTTGTTAACCTGCTTTGTCATTGAATTGAGTTTTAACATATTTTAGTCATCTAGAATGTTGAGATGCTTTGTGGCACTTATAGAAGTATAAAATAATGCCTGACATTAATATGCCAGTTCTTTAGAGGTCTCTGGTCAAGTCAGTGGTATGGATATTAGCCTTCTGATTCATGCAATGCAAGGAAGTCATTAGAGCCACATAGCTTTAGATATGAATCATTTGCCTATTTCAGTGAGCTGCGATGCTTACTGTCTTAGTCATAAGCTCTTTACATAAACATTTAGAAGCTTCGTCTTATTCTAATGCAGATTAACTTGAACTTTGATTTCAGAAATGAGTTTTCAGTTCAGCAGACTTTACCACCTAAAAGGTGAAGGGAATATTGAAGTAAGACCTATTTTGTTATTCAGGGCAATAGGTAGAACTAGACTTGTTCAGGAATCAGGCCTGGGTTGGCTTCTCAGTTCTGTCATCTGGACTTTGTCATCAACAAGCTCTAGAGCCTTAGACAAGTCATTTAACCTTTCTGGATTTAGAACTAACTAAGGCTGTTGGAATTTTTTTTTTTTTTTTTTTTAAATATATAGTATAAAGGTTGTTCCACAGATGGATGGTTCTTCAGAAAACATACTGGGACAAAAAGAGCCTTCAGAAACCTATGTCAAGAACAGCAATGAACGACTTTCTAATTTTCAGAAGCAAATTGTTGAGAAACAAATATTTTCTGTAATATTCATACTTATAAAATAAAAGCTTCACTGTAAGCTAGGAGTTCTTTCAAGGGTTGATTTAATACTTTTCACAGCACCATGTTTACTATTTACTCTCAGAGATTTAGTGGAAGATGTGAAACTGAAGAATTTATTAGCCTCAAGAGCTTATGACCAGGGCTGAGACTTAAGGCATATCTAAACAGTGAATTTCTGTTCTTTTTAAAAGATATATGAGTGGTCTTCTCTCAAACATCTACCCCAAATATCTGGGCAGGCCACATTTCATTGAATTCCAGTTTTTAAAATCATACGTGAATATGCTGAGACCTTTTAGAAAAGTTACAGCTGCCATTCTTTTTCAAGGTGGTAGGTTATATCACAAATACAGCAAATATCGTGTATATGTATGTGTGTGTCTCCTGTTACCCTTCGATAGTACATCATGTTTGGTTAAAATCTACCAATTCTTTAGAAAGAGCTCAAACTAATAGTGATTGCCATCATGGGCTTTAGGGTCAGCCCTGAGTTGTAATCTATGCTCCAAATCTAACTGTATGGCGTAAGCTAGTTCAGTTATGTAACATCTTTTGTTCTGTTTTATTATCTATCAATGAAAGTAATAGCACATAATCTCACAGGATTGTGAGGTACTGCATGTATAGTGCCTGGAGTGGTAGATGTAAGTATCCAGGAAATTTTAATTATTGTTTTCACTTATTATTTTTAACTTGGAACAAATCCAAAATGCCAAGTAAATTTAAAATCATTTTGATACATAGTATACATTTGAAATCTTTAGAATATGCCAGTTGGAAATTTTCCAAAAGCATATATTAAAAGGAAATTATTTGCCACATTCTCTGATACAAAGTTATTTTGCCACTTTACTTTTCCCCATTGCAGAGAATTGTCTAAGCTTTCTTAGGTTTATTTTGATAGATATCCAAAGGAATCGGAATCCAGGAGCTGGGATTAGTTTTATCATGTACCAACATTTGGAAAAAAAAAAAAAAAATGGAATGCTCTCATCTTTTAAATTTAATCTTATTGAGATCTTTAATTCTGTGTGAAGATTGCAGATTTGTCAGAGACCAGGTAAGCACAACAGTTGATTAAGCATTTTCTAGAGGTCTAGAAAAATGGGGAGGTTATTAGTACCACCTGGAAACATTATCTTTTGTCTGTTTTTCTAAGTTTTATGTATAGTGTTTCCGTGGATAAATTGTTATATCAAATTTGCTTCTCCTTGAGGACAGCAACTATGAAATGATGCTGGTTTTGCACAGGCAATATTTGTTGAGAAGCCACTCTGTACCAAACCAGGTATTAAGTAATGTGAGGGCCACAGGAAATAGAAGTCAATCTTTTCTTTCAGTGAGTATAATTCAATGGGAGATAAAGACAAACCTAAGTGCATTTATGTCCTAACACAAGGAACCAAATATTGCTAGGCATTTCATTAGGAATTTCTTTAGTCATCAGGCCTGATAGCTGGACATTGGGGCAATTGGAGACGTTCAAACCATGAACCTGATTGCTGAGAGGCTTAAGCCCTACATATTTCTGGGAACACTAGGAAAAAAAACAGCCCTTCCTTTTAAAATATACTCACTAGATAAAACCACACACACACACACACACACAAAACAAGATGTCTTTTTTCCTAATTTCTGGTTAAAGTTGAGAATGTGGTACAGATTAGTCAAAATCTAAATCATAAGAAAAGGCAAACCTTATGGTCACCTCAAATACATTTTGGAACACAGCAAGGTATCAAAATAAATATATGAAAGGTACGAAAAGCGTATAGTAGAAAGGATAGCACTCAAACTAACTAGAGTCTTCAAACTCTTCTGTATTGAAGCTCTGAACCATTAAGACTAGATCTATCCTAGGAGCACTTTCTTAAGCCTTTTTCTAATATTAAGAAATGTGGACTTCACTGCTTTCTGTTGCTGAAAGGCCCAACCCCCAACATATTTCCGGGGACACTAAAAAAGAAAATCAGCCAAGCACACCTGCTTTGATTGGCACAAGGCATCAAAAACATCATAGTGTTGCTGTTTCCTTAACGTTAATGGGAGTGAAAACTCACCATTCCTTGACTTGCTCCTAAGAAGGAGACTCTCAAATACCATTTGGATCAACCAAAAATGAGATACAGGAAAGCCACCACTGTATAGATTTCCTTATCATTTCAGAAAGGGTCATTTTATGGTCAAAACAAACAAAGTATCTGGCTTTGTTACTATTGAGAATGAAAAAGTTTTAGTGATTTTACATACATTTAATTTAGCTTTTGACTAAGCATTATATTCACTTAAATTTAGAATTCCAAAGATTTAAAAAGATACACAGTAAAAAGTTTCATTTCCACTCTCTGCAGCCACTCAGTTCCTCTACATGGAATTGGTGTTAAGTTTCCTGGGAATCCTTCCAAAGATAGTTCATGTATGTGCGAGTAAATACAGATATATAATTTATTGTCCAAAGCCCTTGGTCCAGATATATTTCAGAATTAAGGTTTAGTTTTTTTCTTGTTTTGTTTTTTCTCGGAGGGGAGGGGAGCTGTTGAAAGGTAATGTAAATGCATCTGCTTGCTACATTATCCAAAATCCCTAGCAGGAGATAAATAGCATCCCATAATCAAACACATTATTATTTCTGCACTAAAAGCATAAATAGTATAATAAGTAAGATAAATAAAGTTCTATGGAATTTTTTGCCGGGTTTTCACATCAAATAGGTTTGTACTAAGCTTGTAAAAAACTTTTGTTTTTCAGAGGTTTATGGATTTTAGATTGCCAAAGGGGGCTTGATTGTTTTATATGTATATTGTATGTCTTCTGCCTTCCCCTGCCCCTTTTTTATTTAAGTTGTAACTCATGC